GGGGGGGCGAACACTGCGGCAGGAAAGCTCATTAAAATCACAGAGATCAGCGGGATCAGGACAGGGTCGTGCGTCACAGCAGTGTTTGGAGGCATTCAGAGCGAGAACGATGCGAGACAGCACTCCTCTCCATCTGCCCACCCCAGCCAGCTCCAAATTTAAGCCTCCCCACTCGCCAACAACACGAACCACCGGGGACTCACCGATGCAGACCCGCTCCTGGGCCCTCTAGTCCTTGTCACTTTTCCCAGCATGATGAAGCCGGCGGTGGAGATGCTGCCGATGGTGTTGATAGGTTTCTCTGCTATTTTCTTACAGTCGAGATAGAGTTTGATCTTGAAGTGGCTCACGGCCACGTGCACCTGGAAAGAGGTGGGTTGGAGCTCCGCGACGAGGTGGGGGAGTCTTTTAAAGACAGTAATGCCTTCTGCCCAATTCCCAGCCTGCTGCTGTCACTAGCGGTGTGTTTTTAATGACCAAATGGATCAAGGGGGCTCAGGAATAAGTTTCAGCATGTGCTGCCTCTGCTGTGCCACACTGCACTTTTCCCTGATGTTCCCCTCACCTCTCCTTGGGAGAAGCCTTTCTGGAGTTGTCGTGTTAAATAATTCAGTGTTCAGGACTAGCTGAATACTGAAACTGCCTACAGATACTGATGGAAAGTGCTCACTGCTCATTTGGGTGGAATACCAAATTAATGGTTAACAGTTAACAAGTTAATGGTTGGGCTTGATGATCTTAAAGGTCTTTTCCAACCTAAACGATTCTATGATATCTGCTCTGAGGACATAGATGGCAAAAAAAACCCCTGTTATGCGTGATAAGGTGTCTCTCACAAGGCTAGATTTATTTTTTTTCTTTCCTTCCTTCCAGCACTCAATGGTGACAAATATCCCAAATTATAAAAAAAAAGTTTGATTTTTCAATTTTTCCTGATTATTAAAACCTAAAATCCCCTCAGCTTTGGAGTTCCTGGGGGGAAAGGAAAGAAATAAATATGTGGAAATCATATTTTGAACATGGGATGAACCTTAATCCTTTACAACCACAAACTTCAGCACATCAGATGGGTTTGCCTGTTCCCTGGCAATCTGGATGCAAAGCGTTTGTTTAATCACTCCTCACTTTGACCAACACCCACTGATGGCACAGTATTCCCAGACTGGAGTGAGATCATGAGCCACATTCCTCCCTCTCCTGATAAGGACCTTATGGAAGCTCCCATAGAATATCTTCTTCACTTCCTGCTGGTCAAAGGAGACTTCCTGCAAATCAGCCTTGTAGTCGTGATTGAAATACGTCAAGGATTTCTTACTGGCTACAGGGAGAATAGGACAAAGAACAGCTTAGAATTAAAAGAGAAGTGGATTTTACCCACATACTGAACAACAATAAATAAATAGGTTTAAACCTGGTGAGACTTCATACGTTACAGTCAAATACTTCTAGACGGTGCAAAAGAAAATGATATATAAAACCAAAGAACTTGTTACAAATAGAACAAAAATGAAAATGTGACTTTTAATTGCAGCAGGCATTATTTAAAATGCAACACTGGCAGCAGCAACGAAGCTTCCCCAAAACTGCTGCTGTGTAAGAAAAACATTAAAACATGAAAACTTTCCAACTGAATAGCAAAATGGGTTCTGCTGCTCATAGAGATGGATGCAAATACCTGAATTTAATGTACTCAACAAGAAAACTTACGGTCAAGGTTAACACCAAGGAGAGGCTGGAAGTCCTCGTCTGTTATTTGCCACACAGCGAAGGGCTCCTTGGGGGTCTCGGGCAGGAGGCGCAGGAGGATGCTGATGGTGTGCTCGGGTGGGATTGCAAAGAGGTGGACATCGCTGGAATGAGACAAGCCCAGCAAGCGTCAGTGGCTTAAAGCAAGCGAGAGCCAGCAGGCAACGTCCTACAGACAGGGCTCACCCATCGCGTCACTTGGGCAGGGTGGCCTGGAAAAGCTTCACCCCCGGGAGCTGAACACGATATGAACGCAATTCGCCAGGGGAGAGCCTGGTTCCTATATTTTGTGCATCCCTCTCAGGCTGTTGAAGCCTGTGCTGTGAGCGATGAGCCCTCGAGCGCCTGCCCCTCATGCCATGGGAGAGACCCAGGCGGAGCAGTCGGAGTCAGTCCATCAATGCCAGAGCTGCCTCAGGGAATGCTCAGGGGGCTGCAGCACCTCTCCTGTGAAGAAAGACTGAGAGAGTTGGGGTTGTTCAGCCTGGAGAAGAGAAGGCTCCGGGGAGAGCTTATAGCAGCCTTTCAGTACTTAAAGGGGGCTCTTAAGAAAGATGGGGACAAGCTTTTTAGCAGGGCCTGTTGTGATAGGACAAGGGGTCATGGTTTCAAACTAAAAGAGGGTAGATTTACATAGATATAAGGAAGAAATTTTTTACGATGAGGGTGGTGAAACACTGGAAGGGGTTGCCCAGAGAGGTGGTAGATGCCCCATCCCTGGAAACATTCAAGGTCAGGTTGGACAGGGCTGTGAGCAACCTGATCCAGGTGGAGATGTTCCTGCTCATTGCAGGGGGGTTGGATGAGGTGATCTTCAGAGGTCCCTTCCAACCCAAACCATTCTATGATTCTATGAATGCCAAGACACAGTAAGTGAAGCCTTAATGATTTCAAAATAGAGCCCAGCGGTAGCTTACAAAACGTCCCTGCGAGGCTCCAAAACCCTCCCCCAAGTCTCCTCTTCAATAAGGAAGAATGGTTGTCATGTAGCACGGGGTAAATCTTTAAGCCTTGGCAGAAATCAATGTAAATGTCCTTCAGGGATAAGCATAGAGCCCACAGAAACACCTCACCGGGTCCCCACTTCCCAGCTGCAAAATTTGGGCTCAGAGCTGGACCCCACAACCACACAGCGATGCCCATCAGCAGCTGCTGGCACAACCCAGCTCCCTCCGCAGCCGCTGCCAAACCCGTCACAGCACCTGGGGCAGGAGCAGCGGTGAGAGGATGCAAGGCAACGAGGAAGGTCAAATTGGTTATGCCTGAAATGCATCTGTAATCTGAAACAGGATACATTTGCATGGGAGTATACACAACTCATCAAGCATCTTTTCAGGACTGATTCATAAGTAATGTCAGGTTCTTATTTCTCTCTCCGTTTCTGAAGGAGCAATGTCCTTGAAAGGTGAATGTACCAGATGAACAGGAGGATTTACCCATAACTTTCTGAGTATTTAAAACAAAGGTTTCTCTGAATCTCTCCCACTCTGTTTACTCTAAGCAGCTTTGCTTCTTTAACTAAGATTAAACTGAGCCAGTGTCTCAGTAATTAGGCTTTAAACATTGTAGCACTGAATGTCAGGAACCAGATAATTCCTGATTTACAGTCATAAAAAATGAGTGGGGTCACAGGAGCTGCCTGGCCCGCTTGGGACCCTGCGGAGAAGCCTTGTACGTAACAACACAGGGTCAAGTCACAACCCAGAGCCAGGGGTTATTCCCTCTCATCAGTAAGGACCAAGCTGCAGAGAGCAGCTATGAGACAAAAGTTTTCTTAAAGCCAAGATCTGACTCCAAACCAGCGATGCTGGGAGAAGAGATTGAAGATGAAAATATGACCTCAAACCACCAGCACTGAGGTGTCTGTGGTTGTGGACAGAATGCCTAAAGAACCGTGCGGCGTCCACATGTGACGTGATCCTTCTGTCCATCACAGCAACGAACAGCGCTGGAAAAAGTGATTTTGTAAAAAGGAAAAACCTCATGGCAAAAATGTTTGGCTGCACAAAAAAAATATAAGGAATACCCCTGTTGTGTCCCCTTGTGTGACACATTCCATGCTCATCTTGAAGAAAGCCAGAGGTTAATTTCTTAATATATTAAGGATACTCTGTCATTCTATGTCATTCTACCTATGGTTTGATTTAGCTCATCATCCTTATCATTTCATTTTGAAATTGCCAGTGGGGCCACATCATTCATCCACAAACCAGTGACCCTCCTCTGCTGTGAGCATAGCTAACGTGAGCGCATGAGACCAACGATGAGGATGGCAGTGGTCACCGCCCCGCTCCCACCTGGTTCTCTGGGTGAGCTGCGTGTCTCTGAAGAGGGTGAAGGTACGGGAACCGCTGAATACGAATGGCTCCATAGCTACGCCTTTAATGGAGGCATATTCCTTTTCTACTAAGCCAAAAGCTTCCATCATGTCAAACCCTGGAACAGACAAAGAAAAACAGAAAAATAAGTGGTTGGAAAAGAGTGCAAAAGAAGTGTGATTGCAGAGCGGGTAGAATTAGCTGGAGAAGGCAATAGGAGAGCACACCATAGCAGCACGGACACCGGCAAGGCTGTGCAAACTCACTACAGACCAGGAGGGTACCTCACAAGCAGCACCCAAGGAAAATGGTTTGGGTCTGTACCCTCTGCGCCCATTTGCTGTAATCTTCTCCTCTTGGAGAAGAGTGGACTAAAGATGGAGACTTTCACAATTGTGGTTTCAAATCTCCAGAATGAAAAACGAATGAGAAAGAAGTCACTCCAACCATTTCTTTTTTTCAACGAGATGCAAAAATATTATCTTCAAAAGACATGGAATCAGCCCAGTAATTGCTAGCAGGGAGAGAGAATTATTCCTGCTCTGAAATGCCTCATATGTAGGAGTCAGAAAAATTAGGGAAGAACTTTAAAATATGAGCATTTCCATTTCTCTCTATCTTCATGAGACACCCAGGGGTGACCTGGCTTACGCGGTCTGCAGAGATTCTCCCCTGACATCTCTGGCATCGCCTCCCTGGCTCCTGCAGCTTCATCTCAGCCTCCCAGCTCACCATTAAAGCTCCGAGTCATTTCCTCATTTCAGTTTTCTGTTCAGTAAGACAAGATCTTGCACTTGGGATTCTTTTTTTAGTTTATCTGAGTTTGCAGCAGGCTGAGATGAAGGAGACAGCTCGTTCTTTAGCAAATGGAAAGGCTACAACTTCATTACAACGCAGTGCTTTCAGTCTGGATTCCCTCACCCCTTCACCATTTACAACCTTCTGCAGTTTCTTGGCTTGAGTTTTTATTCCTCCAGGGGGTTGGTCCAGGGCGCTTTTTTTTTTTTTTCATTTTCAAATAGTACTAGGGAGTTTGCCAAAAAAATTACCTACTTGAGAGCCATTTATCACTGATAGGGAGCTTCTGGCACCGGAACTTCCCTTAAAACATGCAGGAAATATTGTGGTGTGAAGACTGAAAATAAGGCTTGAGTCACAATTGTAAACATATCGTAATATAACCATATTATCATCATATTGCGAATCTGCCATGGAATGGTTTTGGTGAGCTGCTAAGGAAATGGGCTTCTCCTGCCACCTTTGCTGAGGAGGAGGAGGAGAGATCAACATTTGTTGGGGCTTTATTTGATTGCTGTGGTTTCTGCATCCATAAACAGGGCAGCAACGCCGAGAGCGTTTCTCAGTCCCAGCCGTATCACAAAGCTCCCTGGGAAGGAGGTGAGGTCAATTCATAAGCAGAACTAACTGCTTTCTAAGTAACCAATACCTACAGCAATGCCACAGCACGGGCAGGGGTTACAGCACAGAGAGAAGTGGGAACTTGCTACCCTAGCCCAGCGCGACTGCAGAGAGCTCTTTGGGTATCGATACCTCCTCCAGAGGATGCACAGGTGATCTCAGTGGCAGACTGAGAGTTTTTCTTTAGGAGTCTGTATGAGTTAGGAATTTAAATCCTCCTGAAATTCAACAGCCGTCGGAAGCCTAGCGCCCTTAAGGCCAGTGAAAACCCAGGCATTAACCACTAAGAGCTGAGAGCACGAGCTGGTGGAACAGCAGGGGCATACCAATCCTGTTAGTGCAGAATATTCTTCTACCTGATAAAGAATACTTCCCTATTTCCATTCTCAGACTTCTCCCCTTTCCCTCAGGACAGAGGAACCATTTCCCCCCTGCTCAGCTCTTTCATGTTTCTCCAAAGAGAAGACCAGGTGGAGTTTTCACACTCCCAGCCCAGCACCACTGGGGGCTTGATATGTTACTGTACCTCGTATGGAGCCTTCGGTAGAGCTGATGGTGGGGCAGGCTGTGAGAAGAAAATAAAAGGGAAAAACTATTAGGGAAAAAAAGACAGTGGGGGATTATGGAAGTAAAATTAACACAGTTCCTGTAGACAGAGCAATGGAAACACACAGCAAAACTTAGAATAATCTACAGCTAAATTCAGAGCCTGGCCTTTAACCTTATTTTTATATATATATATTTTATTTATATATATA